AATTAATAACTACTTTTAAAATAAATAAAATAAGATAAAACAACAGAACTTGCCATTTTCCTAAAGTCCACTTGCAACTAAGAAAAGCTTTGATGTGATAATAAAAAGTTAAGAGTTTCAATTCAGGTGTTGAAAAGTTAAGCACTTTTCTAAGGTAATGTTAGAAACTTTATATTCTGACTGAATTATTTATTTTATAGGTCAAGAGATGCACTTGCCATTGACCTGCCAAAGACATTTGCAGTTTATTTGTTCATAAATAAATGATACTGAATAGCATGAAATGGACAAGTCCTATTTAAGAGGCGCACCCATGCATGCAGAAGCCGCAGAGGGCTGATGGGTGGGGCGGACGGGAGGAGGTTCTCTGGGATCCTCGGAGGTCCCTGACGATCTGCTGGCCACTGGAGGCGCCTGAGCTGCACACAGAACTCTAAAGGTGATGGCTGTTCTGACCAGTCACGGTTACCTTACTGCCCAGCTAGGTTAACTGAAAGACAGCAGAAAAATAAATGTGTAGTCCTCCCACCCTACGTTTACTCTCAGGATTTTAGCATTTATATTGTTATAAAATAAAAAATCGTCATTTTTGGATCCCCTTTCATGGTTGGGGGATGCATTCTGAGAAGCCCATTGGGTACTTAAAATCGGCCGTAGTACCAAAGCAGATACACTTATCATGCTTGTTCCTATGCATTCATACCCACGATGAGTTTAACTTTTAAATTAGGCCTAGTAGGAGACTAGTCATAATATCTAATAACAAAATGGGACAATTGTGACAATATACTGTAATAAAAGTTCTGTGACTGTGGTCTCTGTCTCTTTCTCAAAATATCTCACTGTAGCGTAACCATCTAGTTTTGGACCTGGTTGACCCCAGATAATTTAGACTGTGAAGTCAAGGATCGGGGAGGGCTGCTATATGCCTGGAGAAGGAGAAAGAGAACTAAGACAGGGCATCTGGACCCCTGGGCTCCACGTCTGTAGCCGCCCCACCTTTTCCACATCTTGACACACACATGTAAAATGACTACATGCGAGTGGCACACTGGGGTGAATGGAGACAGGGACTGCGGGCTCCTGCTATGGATTGGTATGTAAAATGTGACCATCCCAGGACCAGTAGATGGCATAATGGTTACATTGTTGGATTCCCACGTAGTCGACTATGGTTCAAGTCCCTGACCCAGCAGCTTAAAACTCAACCTGGGCATGTGTGCGTGCGTGCCCAAGGTCCTGAGAGGAGAAAGGAGGAGAAGGGATTGTGGTGTGGCCATCCTCCCTGGGGAGTGATTTCTCACTTTCTGTTTCTCTGTGTCTCTCTGGACAGCACAGGTGCCCTATAGCAAAAAATCTCTCTTAAAAAAACCAAAAAGTGACCATCTAGCGCTCCTGCTGTTGGAAGCTCACATGCAAGATCAGGGCTTGTTCTGAAGCAGGGGGAGGGGGAAGGACCAGCAGTTCATCTTCCACGCTCCCCAAATGTGAGCTTGTAAACTGTGAAAAAGAAATAAATGCAGGGGGTGGGGTTGGGAGTAAAGTAACGCTCATAGGCTACACATTTATGTGGTAATGTGTAAAAATGAAAGAAACAGGTATTTCTGGGGTGCATCAGAGATTAAAACAAAACGGAATTTTCTACAGCTTTGTTACGGGAAGAAGTTCGACAAATAAGACCTTTATTTGTAACTTGGCCATTGTCATCACGCTGCATGCAGGAACTCCTTGCAATGGAGGAGTAAAGGGGCAAAGGGGGAAGCAGCCAGCGAACGCTGAAGTTGCGGGCCAGCAAATGGTGTGGTGGTTAAGCTGCTAGACTCCCACATGGTGCATGCAGTTCGAGTCCCAGACCTAGCAGCTTGAAAATCGTGGCGAGTGTGTGTGTCCAGAATTCCAGGAGGAGAGTGGGGGAGAAGGGAATGTGGCATGGTTGTTCCCTCTCTGGGGGTGATTTCTCCCTTTCTGTCTTCTCATCTGTTTCTCTGGTGAGTCCATGTGCCCTATGACAAAAATCTCTCTCAAAACAAAAACCGCAAATTACCATCTCCCCCAGAAGTGGAGAGAGGCGGGCTGCAGTGAACCACCAATCACAACGCCTCACGATGCCGAGGCCATAAAGGGAAAGTCTGGGGTCACATCGAGGTCTCCCGTCACCAGGCACCAGGCAGGTGGCTGCGTGCTGGTGTCCCGGCTGGCTGAGGCTGGGGTGGGTCGCAGTGCGAAGACCATGTTAGACATGCCATTCTCTCTCCCTCTTTCTGTCTCCGTATCTCTTGGGAGAAGGAAACTTCAACGAAAGTGAACACAGCGTGTCGGGAGCAGGTTCTTCATCAGCTGCAGGAGTGTGGTGGGTTCACCTCTAACAGACTCGGGGTCTCTTATCTTGTCCACGCCTGGTGCACAGGAAATTTGGGGGCCTGAAGAGGGCGCCCTTAAGGCCAACAGGGTGAGGAGGCGGGAGCAGAGAAGGCTGGGGAGCTGAGCTGAGCTGAGCTGATGCGGACGGGGCAGAAGCCCGGAACCCAAGCTGGGTACACTCAGGGGGATCTAAACACTAGGCCTCCTGGGGGTCCGGGGCTGTGCTGGGTGTCCTGTCTCTAATGATCCCGTCCAACGGATATTAACGATCCCATTTCACAAATGAGGAAACTGAGGCTGCGTATCGAACGGGGGCAATGAAGCTTAGGCGGTGGAGCAGGTGGTGGAGCCCAGGTGAACCCAGGCCTGCAAGCACCAAAGCCTATTCCCCCCCACGACACACACAGCTCCCCAAGAACACGCCAGACAAAAGAGACTCTGATCCCCACTAATAACCCCCAGTCATCCTCGCTAACGAGCCCGAATCAACTTCTCTGCTGCGAGGAAAACCTAACGGGTGAGCGGAGGCTAGCTCCTACATCGTCGCCCCGGCCTGGGCAGCACTGGCCCCGAAATGGCCGTCCCAGTCCCCGCTCCGTCTCGGTCTCTCCTCTCCTCGCTGCAGGAGGCTGGATAAGAACCGCTAAGCGGAAACCAGCGCGTCGGTTCGCTGGGCTGGCCGGGCGGGATTCGGCCTCGCGCCTGGCCCTCCCAGCGCCGCCCTCGGCCGCCCCCGGCCGCCCCCACCCGGCACTCCCGCCTCCGGCACCCAGCCGCTCTCGCCCGCATCCCTCCGCGCGCTCGAATCCCAGCATCCCTGCAAGGAGCCGGGCTCCCAGTGCATCGCGCGGAGAGGCGCCCACCCACCCCAATAGGCTCTGCTCTCGGTCTCTCTCTCGCCAGCCCCGCACTGTCCAGCTCGAACCCCGGACTGGAGCCGCAGGAGCAGCCCGGAGCGGGGCTGGGCGCGCGG